GATATGAAGCACCGAGCTCATAATTGCAGTGTCTCCTTCATTGCTGTTATGTAATTTTTCATCATAAATTCTGTATGTAGTAAGCACCTACATATTATGAAATTGCAACTGGTAATTTATACCTTATTACATTATTACTTGATAGTAAGGTTTTGTCTTTTTTTAAAACGTGACTTTCTTTTAACCGAATAATCGAATGCACGAGATAAATTACCAAGTTATATGGAAACACCAGTTCTTTTATAAACGAACCACCTCGTGTTAGTAGCCCTAATACTGCATCTTTATAGAGCACCCATCAACAGTTACCTCAGCTTATTTGTTCAACCATCTGCCATTTCTTATCGCAATTTAAATGGAACAAGTCAGGTGTGTGGTGCAGAAGCAAACACTGGCATATGAAAGGTCAGTCGGGGTCAGTGTCCTGCCGATAAGTTTGCAGGTGCCCAGCAGCTGCGACCACGCGATAATTAGACACCATTGTACCATGATATATGAACAATTCACACTTAATATTATGTTACTGATAAAAATATTTATGTCACACAGCGATAAGTTTGTTTTGTTACAGTTTTGTACTTAAATATCCACGATATTGCAATCATTACAGGTCTAGAAAGAAAGTTCACAAGTATAAATCTCCGTTGAAAATTTCGTTATGTTAATCTGAATTTCATTAACACAATATATTTTAATTTCTTAAGTGTTATATCGAAGAAAAATTATGAATTCTATCATAATGAAAGCGTCTTATCGACGTATAATTAAGGACGAACAATCGGATTACAGGAAACAAATTAAATTACCTGCTCCCAAGGCGGAGAAACGGGCGGTGATTAAAAACAGATTTTAACACGCTTTTGTGTGAAAAATGACAAAATGGATATTAGATTCTATGAAATCATTTTACATTCAAGCATTTTGATGTTCATTCATCATCATAAACTATATTATAATTTTGTAGCTTGCTTTTTAATGGATTAAACATAGAGGCCAGAATGTTTTGCTAGTGTACCTGTCACAAGGGCCTGAAGCACACTATAGACTATAAAGAAGTATTGGGGTTTTCTCAACTTAACATTGCACTTATAATTTAACTTTTACTAAAAAGTTCGAGTAGCTACATAGAAACAAACAGACGGACCCTACACGCAGGTTGTAGAGATTTTACTGGGCTTCCAGGCTTCCATACCAGAGGGTCATTAATCAGGCCCATTTTAAACAAGGCCGTTTTACGTGCCTAAATGTTGCCAAAAAACAGTGAAAAAAAAAGACATTAAAATCCTTCAAACCGTTTAGGGGAAGAGCAATTACGAACACACCGCATATTTTGTTTAAATCGGAGTATAAATAGGAATTGGAGAGTAACCAAGCCTGATAAATAACTTGTGTGTCTACTATAGATGTGAACTATTGTAAAGGGACTCCTACATCAGATAACACAGTGAGCAAAAAGAAAATGCACTTGTGTACTGTAATTCGCTATCACCATGACCAAAATCCATTATCCGATATCTTATATATACCTAACTGGTGCAAAGAGTTACCAGCACAGTATTATAATACTTTTGCCTGCTGTGTTTTCTAGGGAGAAAATTATCCAATGACTTCTCCCGCCTTGTAAAACAAATAAATTTATTTTGCAAAATAGTACGTATTAAAAAAAGCTAGATAAGGCCAACATTGGTGGGACGAAGTGTGTTGGTTCTCTAGCCAATCCTACAATTTAAGACTATTGTTAGGTGATCTAATTGACCACCTAGGTCAAACCACCACTAATCCACCTTGACACTCAAAGCCATCAGATTGTGAAGGCTCTAATCAATATTAATCAGCTAACACTTACCAATCGACTTTTCCATTAGCTGTAGGAAAAAACAATCGAGAAAGCGAGTGCTTTCTAGCTGAGGTTTAATTCAGTACTATGTGAATATATGTTGCTATGTACATATTTATATGTAGTTGCTACCCTACCTTAATACATTGGATCTTCTTGCAGAGAAGTCAATGCAAGAATGTAAAGTTCTGGACGAGTAGGTTGTAGCACGAATGATGTGACTATTATTTATTATTTAGTTTAATGTATGTATATCATAATTATGTTACATGGAAGTTGACTCCCTTTCAGTATTAAATTTAATAACCTGTGTATGAAAAACTCCGCTCACTGCACGCAATGTTAACACATAGTTCAGGGTCACAATTTTCGCATACTTTCAATAGACACAGTATGAGTAAAATGAGTAAACAAAAAACAAAAATCTTTCTCTTCGTCATTCCAACCGAAATACCGCAGAACATTTCTGATTTCTAAATATACACATCCTGTTTCTAACAGAAGGTGTTATTAATCATAAGATAGTCACAACTCATAGCATCAGTATTTCCTCCATATTTCTTCACGCGGTATAACGTTATTTGCGGAATAATCTATAGTGGTACATCACTCGTCCTTAGGTCATCAATCACGAGGCGCAGCCCTACTGCTCCCACAAAGTACATGATCCTAAGAAAAGTATTACGTCGGTACATAAAATGCTAATCCTCGATTTATGGCCCTTCGCGTTATTTACCCTCACATTAATCTATCTTAAAATGTTGTTGACAAAGTTTGTTTTGTTCTGTATTGTATGTAGGTACATCTGTATGCATGTACATACTTTATTACATTTAGATTTTATCGTACCTATTGCTAAAGAAACGATTATATTGATGTTATTGGTTAAGGACTTTTATTCAAAAAATTTATTAATTCAATAAAAATTATCTGTCTACGAACTCGTAGCAACAACACCGTGAACGAACGAAAACCCACTTAACCTAGCTAATCATAAATTCCATTTAATTGAAGGGTGTTAAAATGCCAACGTATGGAGTATGGGGTTAAAACTGACCTTCCGTGGAACTTGAGGTAAACGTTCGTGACTAGGTGTATCCTTAATCATTACGTAAGTATCTACAAACCGCCCCCAGCCATCGTCCGTAGCACACACGTACGAGTTCAAAGAATATGCGATGTGTCTACTTTTAATATGTTGACAGTACCATACTTACATCGCAGCGTGTACTTTATATTTGCAAGTGGACACCTACAGTAGTGCTATAAATAGTGGGCACTTTTATATTCTATACTTATTAAATCATGAATGCATCCCAACATTTCCTTTACTCAGTACAATAGAAATATAATGATTTCAAAGTATTGAATGCATACTGATTTAGCACCAATAGAACTATCACCTACCTGTTAAGAATACTATTGACATTCATTATGTTCTAAGTCATAGGTACTTGTAACAATGCATATGCTAATCCCGACATTAAGATTTGATGTGACCTCTAATTTTGATTTCTTGTTCGAAATCTGTTACGTTGCACGACACCATTTCGCAACTCGATCTAGAATGCAAATTATTCTATTTCGTATGCAATTATTATTTTACGCATAAATCCTCAGTTAATCCTAACTATTTTTGATGAATTATTTATTAGTTGTGAACTATGTTTAAATCATGTCGCCGGTTTGTCTGCTGGAGTATTTTACAATAAACAATTTTCCTTAACTAAAAGTTAAGAATTCTCTGAGGTAATGATGTCAGCCGCTCGCCTTGAGCTTACATTCCGCCTCATTCCATGGTGCACGTGGAAACCTGCACAATTATACATTTGCTGCAATTGAACGTATGCGTCAATCAATTTTAATAGTGAGCGCGAGACCACGATTCCTCAGCTCTATTAATTTCGTAAAATGTTCGTTTGTTCATTATTCCATTATTATTGCTAAATCGATCGCAGGAATTGGTACACTTAGAATTGTTACATTTCCTGGTATGGCGAATAAATACAAAAGTCGAATGGCTTTTTTTAGCAATCTAAAATCGATTTCTATTCGTCAGGCTTAAGCGGACTACAGTCAAGTCGGCGAGAGCTAAGGACCCATTCTGAGAAGTTTGAATTAATTCTAGGTTGAGTTGAGATAACGCCGTTTTCCTTTCAACGCATACAGTTTTATCTCCTTTGTACTGTTTACTGTTGTCACTTGGCGTGAACTTATTAATGTGATGTCATCGTGTCTCGAGTGGAGCCAGTTTCTGAGATATAACCGACAACCTTTAATCTCCCAAACAATAAGAGTGAATGAGCACGCTTGCTTGATTCATAGAAATATTGTCACTCAGTCAAGCGGAGATTTATTTGTGTTGAAGCTGTTCTAATCCCGACTAGAATTCATGTTAACTGGACCATTCCAGAGACGAAATATTTTCTGTGAATATCGACAGATGACATAAGACGTAACGTAATAGACTCTTATAATATAATCTGTTTAGTTATCAAGCGTAAGTGGAGGAATAGAATAGACCTTGAAGGTGTTATTTTTTGGACGCGCCGTGGATTAGCGGAGACGCGTAGGCGAGGCTCGGACCCTCGGATTACCTCCCGCAGACTTATGAATGAACAGGTACCTCTGTGGCTACGCCCACCGGCACTTCTAGTTTATCGGCAATTCTTATCGACATTACCTCATTTATTATATGAAGTAAGATAATACCTACTATATTGTTGTGTTATACCACATGTGCTTTAGTTACATGATTGTGTATTTCAAAAATAAATGTATTTTTATACCATATATCATAACGGAAGTATGACTGAGATAAAAGCGACAAGGACATACTGTGAACTTCATATGTTAGCACAAGGTCAGGGAAGTCCCCTGGCATCGAGAAAAAATATGTTTTTATTTATTACTCAATTATGACTTCTACCAACATAATATTCTCGGAAAACGTAAGGAAATAGGTCAAATTGTAGAGAATTACCTCAATATCTATAAATAGTAATTAGTATATGTTAGTATGCATACTATTTGTCCCGATATCAACGTTATGGTGGGTTTAATATTGGACTGGACTAATATTAACATAATAAACTGCGTGGTTTAAACAGAAACAGAAGTAAATGAAGGTAATAGAATTAGCTTACCAAACTACTTTACTTACCCATTACTTGTGAATAGGGTACTGGTGTTGTGGCATTTATTGGCTGATATCGCACTGCTCGTACTGTAACAAATGAGAAAATTAAAATTATTATGGGCCTAGTGTAGCCGTTAATTAGTTTGACCAAGAACCTATTTGTTCGGGTCCATTCAGTAACGGGTTTCGTGACTACTACTTTATTGCGATATACCTATTTATACGTTTTATCCCAGTCGCGTACAAGAAAATGTCCACACAATAAATATCCTAAGTTTCCATACAAGATGTTAAATGACGTGACGTCAGTATTGTACATTTCGGTCGCAATATGGCGGCCGGTCGTGTCGTCGAAGTGACTTTGACAGATGCGACAGGCATGTCGAAATCGAACCCCGTTGAAAATTGACGTTCGCGCTTTTCAGAACTTCATAAACCGGAGTTGTGTGATTGTGATGCAATATTAAAATTTTTATATATGGAGGCCGATGTGATTTCGTAAACACGGTGTTATATATTTATGAAGAGGTATGATTCGCTAATCGTGGGCGCTTTTAAGATGTCGAGGGGTCAGTGATGACTTCTCACTCGCTATTGTGCAATCTATTACCTAACAAGGGTCAGTCGAGTTGGCCTCTTCTTCACCATACGCCACGAGTATGGCACGAACACAAACAACTATACGTCTATGTCATAAAGTTGTATCGAGCGTGTCATGTGCGCTGTACGTTTAAGATTGATTTAGAAATATTGGCTCGCACTGTTTGTTTGAAATTTTTGAGTAATGGAAATATTTTATTCTTGTTTATTTCAATTCTAGAGGTAGTTATAAAGTCCTTACTCCATTTTATTGGAAACCTCATAGAAGTTGGTGAAATTGCCGACCATAAAATGAAATAATTTTCTTGTGCGAAATAAACTTTATTAAGTTGCCGTTCTGAAAATAAAACCGTTGACCCGAACAGCGTCGCAGTCAAAGGCTAGTTAATTCGCATAAATCACAACAGCGTGATTACCGCGGCATGTAATTAAAAGTTTTTTGCAGCCACTCTTCCCACTCAATCAATTTTCGTATTTTAAACCTGTTCCGTACCTTTAACTAATTTTCCTTGATTGTTTTAATTATTTTAACGTTTTAGAATTAACACAAAATCATTCCTTTAGAAATAGTATTGAACTAAGATTGAAAATTAACCGAATATTGAAATCTTGGATTTCATTCGCAGCTTCTCGAGCCACAAACTGAAAGATGAAAAGGACCATCGGTGATATTGTTATCTTTAACTAACATCATGTTTAAGAAAATATAACTTTTTTGTAACCACTAAACCGAAAGAGGTAGTCAATAACAAGAACAAAATTAGCTGTTCCAGCCTTCCGACGATACAATAAGTATTTGTACGACCTACGCATGAAAATACAAAGACGTAGGTCTTCGATGAAGCGATCAATCGATGTAATTAGCCAGCTAATTACGTTATTATTCCGTGAGGCGCGTGCTAACCACTGACACAATGAACGATAAAAAGAAAATCTGACTGACAATACTTACGTAACTGTTGTTAGCACTCACTACGAACGGTAAAAGGTACTGTAACAAAAGGTACTCACACAGAACAGAACTGCAATACCTTGTTAGGCAACTGTCGTTTTCATCTCGATACACGTCGTAATCAAATTTAACGGTTATTGAAGCCGATAAAAGTTACCAGCTCTCGTGACGGACTGGTGAACCGAGGTAGGACAATACTGATTATTTATTTCTAATAATTTTATTATTTATGTAATTGCCTGATACGGACGACCGAGTACATTGATCGATAATTCTCCTATTTCTCAATACTTATAGCGAAACCAGTACTAACCAAGTGCGTTAACCAAACAAAATATTACAGTTACAACATGTCTGGTCTGTATACATTAAATACTTGTAAATGTGCGTTGCTCGATATCGCAAATATGGCGATCCGATAAAGTCCTTTTCATACTTTATGTAGGTGATACAAAAGTAAAAGTTGCTTACACAAGCAATAATTACACGTACCTTGACTTGTTGAGATTTTATGTGGCGGATAAATATATTATTGTTATTATCACTAGCATTGTGAAACGAGAACCTTCATCAGCGCTACTTGATGCCTCAATGTCGAGCTCTGACGGTTCAATTACTGAACAAATAGAACTCCGATTTGTAGACGTATAGAAATATCTGCTGAATGCAGTAAAGATTTACTATAGAGAGGCAATAACAAAGTGTTTGCAATCTTTTCTTATTTACACCTTATTGGTTAATATTTTGTAAAGTAATCCGATTGATTTTATCAGTTGATATTTGTTAACCAATTACAGTGTAACACCATTACTAGCAAAACAGCACATTCTTTGAAATTACATAAAATATTATCAGAGAAAACGTTCAGATCTTTGAAAAGTACGAGTAATGATCGCCTTGGGATATGGTCTAATGGTTGTCTTAATCGCTATCCGCAAGAATATCGAGGTGTAATTAACATTAATCATAGAGATGGAGGCTTCCAGGAATAATTGTGATCATCAGTCGGGGCTGACGGCCGGGCCGATCGTGTGGACTGATGTACGGCACGGACGGCCGGCGCGCCGGTTATGAATGACGCTGTGACAAAAGGAACGCGCTGCAGATGACGCTGACTAATAGTCGTGCACTGTTTAACAGAGACTGGCTGCTGCGCCGGTCTTTTATCTTTACGACTAATTAACCAACAATTTCTAACGTATAAACACGAACGTGGAACAAGGCGCGCATCGATTGATCGTAGATCATCGTCAGAAATACGGAAGGAACAAATATTTCCTGAGCTTCGTTACAATAATTTTCATATTGTTTCCGTATTTTTTCTGTTCAATTTATTGTGCTGACATCGCGTGACGGAACCTAGCGCCGTGCCTGGCTCTGCCGGTGTCCCGGCGCGCCCGCCGTCGCCGCTGTCATGTCTCTGGTCACGCCAGCCCTCCTCCACTGCGCTATGCGGAAGGTATGTGCCAGATTAATACCGGCCTAAAAATGTTATGAGGACTCATAACCTGTGATTATGTTAAAGTAATAAGCTATTTTATGAGGTCAACAAAATTTTATAGTTTGTAAAATACTCATATTTAATATGTATTTTATAGTTGAACAAATACGTAAAAAACGTTTCCTGCTCATAAAAGAAAGGCGAAAATATGACAAGGTGTTCCATACTGGCAGCGAGATCTGGTTTCGCAACTTCCTTTTTGGTGCATATCGTGTCTAAACATCGGCTTCCTATAACTGTAGAGTAGTGGCAACTGTAGTAAGGCAGCTGCGTGAAGCCGGCTCTCGTAAATCAGCGCCTGCGCATCGAGCATCGACCAATAGACGAACGCGTCGCTAACCCGCGACATGTGCACCTGCCGCTGAGAGGAAGCTCTAATGAAGCCCGATACATCTTGACTTCAATCTTTGATAGTAAAACAACCTTTATTATATTACTGGATTTAAGAATTATGTATACTACAGGTACACATGGAAACTTGAAATACCTACAATTCTCAGTTTGGTTCATGTTTGGCGGATTGTAGTAGTATTGTAAGTACGATTTCAACATTCATACAAATTATGTTTTAGAGTATTAATATTAGATTTAAATCAATCAAGTAATTGTTTCATTTTACGAGACATTATAACATAGGTAATCTGCGATTCCATTAACGTCGGCTATTGTTCTAATATTACGGACAAATCAGGATTCGAATGAGAATTTCACAAATCTATACAGTATTTCTTAATGGAGTTCTCCAGTTCCTTCCAATGAATTTAATAATTTACTTACTCGCCACGTATAAATTGAATGTAAGAAGCGATCCGCGGGGCATGTGTGCGGTAGGGAGGGCTTGCAGCCCCACAAACGATTAAAATTCAAAGCTTGTAGAAATGTAATTACTTCTCAGTCTGGTCAGAGTTCCGCCGACTTTTATTCAGAGTAATTAAGTTTAATGCCGGTTTTACATCCCGACTCGAGTTTTGAATCGTCTTTCGAATGAGTCAGATGATCTATCTAGTGATCTTCATTAATATCATCATTAAAACTGCGTAATATCTCGCTGGGTATATTCTAACGTAACGAAGTTCCATCTGGTTTGTTTGTGAGCTCCCATCTGGACTGTAGTTATACGTATTATAAGACGGCTATCAGGCAGCAATCGCGGTATTGTTCATCCTACGTTGTTGCTCAGGTGTTTTCGCCGCACAATCAGCAGTAAAAAGGAACGGAGCTTTCATAGAAGATATTGTGGACTGTTTTTATGTTCCATAACTGCTTGTTTCAAATTTTGTAAACTGGCTAATCTTAAGATTTTGAATTAATTCTCCCCTTCCATTTTAATGATAAAGTAGGTATCTAAACTGGCGCCGAGAACTTATCTTACGCTTATCACAAAAGGACTTTGAAAATTATTTTGCTTGAACAATGGATTAATTTGTTAATTTATGGATTTAATAATTCAATTTCTAGATAGGTTATCTAAATGGGTTATGAATCATAAGTCATTTTGTGTCACAACGGAAGCGTGGTCAATGGTTCATGTTCGCAGTTTTGTGAATCACTTCATGGTCTGGTACTTGTGTAGGTAAGTAAGTACCTCGCTTATTGTGAGGGGTAGGTTAAGATATAGTCTTATTTTACGTCTGTTATCTGTGACACAGACACAATAGACTAAGCCAAGAATACAGTTGCGCAACATTTTGGGATAAAGGAGATTTACGGTCGTGAATAACTCTGCCACGTGCAGTTTTCTTCTTTAGATAAACAACATAAACATGACACATTCTCAAGGGAACGGGTGAAGAAAGAATCGGAGAGTGCAGTTGCTTACTTAAATACTTTAGCTATTATGATATAGAGGTTATCTATAGTGGACTGTGGTGTAAAAAACCAACAAAAATAACATAACATAACATCACGCCTTTTTATGCCCGAAGGGGTAGGCAGAGGTGCACATTATGGCACTTAACGCCACTGTACAATG